TATGACCGCGCCGCGGTGCTGAGTGTCAATTAATTTTGGTGCTTGTTGATAAACATGGTTGATTTCATGATTTAGGTTTTTTTTTCTTAATTTTTTTTTTTTTGTGATTTTTTTCTAATTGTATATGATTTTTTATCACGCAATCATCCATATCAAATAACCCCAGCTTCAATTTCATTGTCCCTGATTTATGATTGATTTAAAAACTGCTTGTGCTGGATATTTTTTTGAAGGTTCCAGAAATGGATGAGGGGAAGAAGGCAGAGAGTCATATGGCATCAGCTGCGGCATTTGTAGAAGGGGGAATTCAGGATGCCTGTGAAGATTCTTGTAGCATATGCCTTGAGGGTTTTTGCGATAGCGATCCTTCCACGGTGAATTTTCGTTTCAATTTACTCTTTTTCATTTATCAAATTAATCGGTGTTCTGCGAAAAAAAACACTTTTTTTCATATTAGTAAAATCTTTTGAATAACCTAATGTAGGTCACAAGCTGCAAGCATGAGTACCACCTTCAATGCATTCTCGAATGGTACGTGTCTCTGCATTTTAATCAAATAATCGGGTTTTGCTGATGTCCTATTTTGTGTACTCATTTTTTGTTTACCCAATTATAGTTTTATTGTTGGTTTCGTTTTACAGAAATGAAAGAGAGAATATTTTTGATTTTGTATTTTCTTTGTATTTAGGTAAAATATATACTGGATACTTTCGGTCGTTAAATTCAAACGGTCTTAATTAATCTCAACCTGGCATTGCTCAAAATTCATATCCATTGAACTGCTGTTGCTTCTATTTAAGTTGTCTGTTTGCATCCTAAACTCTGTGGTAATATTACCTGAAATTATTCGAAAATGTATGTAAAGTTCTTGCTGTTAATTGCAAGTCAGAAATGTTTGAAAGTTGGATCATGTTATCTTCTACGAGTTAGTGTAGTTACTGGTGAGTCCAAGAGTTAGAAAAAAACTATTTCAATTATACGCTATATTCTTTTGAGTAAAAAATAAAACGGGGGTTGAACAGAAACTTGTAATACAATGCACGAGACAGGTGCCAAAGAAGCTCCAGTTGTCCGATGTGCTTGCGAGATATCAGTCTGAAAGACCCTACAAGGTTTGTCTTGGATGTTTATCTCTCCTTGTTCAATTACTCTGTTTCTTACTTTCTTTTATCCATGGTCACATAATTTATTCTTTTCGTGATTATTGCAGTCAAGAATTGCTCGAGGCAGTAGAAAGGGAGAGAAATTTCCGGTTCACTCCAAGGAACTCTACTATATTCCGCCACCCCACCCTCGGAGATTTCGAATTGCAGCATGTCTGTTACCAATCTTTTTCATCTAGTCAATTTTTTTCAGTTCCGTTTTATTCCCTGGTGGTGTTTAATGACTCCCTCTCCTCAATGCAGTTACCTGTGGGAGTGAATGATGCTGAACTTGAGGACCGGATTATCCAACACCTGGCTGCTGCCGCTGCAATGGGGCGGACTCGTGGCGGAGTTGCTCGTAGGGAAGGCTCAAGAACTCGTTCCTCTGCTCATCCACGCCGCCATCCTTACGGATCTTCAACTGGCGGCAGAGAAGAAATCGAACCAGCTGCAGCATCTGAAAATAATCCAAGATTTCAGCTTTCGTCTTTGAACGATGAAACCACTCAACACATGGCACCACCTTTCCAGAACAATCAAATTTCAGCTTCTTCATCTAGGTAGTTGTAGTTCTCAAGCCTTTTATACAGTCCTCTAAAAATGGTGTATATATATATATATATATAACAATGAACTTTTGTTCGATTTTCAGAAACTATGTGAATCAGTCTTCCTTGCCAAATCAAGACAGAGCAGGGCCTTCCGAATTTCAGTCATGGAAATCCCGAATCAATTCTATGTCGATGAAGTACGAGTTTTGCTTATATGCGTTTATCATTATTTTCCCTATTCAATTGGCTGCATTTCGAATTTCGATATGAATGTTTGTTGTGGTTTAATTTTTCATAAGATACAAAGAGTCGATCTCGAAGAGCACAAAAGAATTGAAGGAGAAGCTGTTTTCTCGAAACTCTTCCATGGCGGATATTGGTTCAGAAGTCAGGAGAGAGGTAAATGCCGGAATCGCCACCGTCTCTCGTATGATGGAACGCCTCGAAACTAGAGATAACAATAACAATAACAATAGAGATGCTTCAGTGACTGAACGAAGCAACAGCAATCAGCACACTCCGAATGATTCTGCTTCTTTGTCGGCAAGTTCGATTCCGAGCTAACTTTTTTAATGAAATATATTTAAGAAACGGGAATCCTTCCTCAGCATTTCATATTTGAAGGTGAGTTACATGAGTTGTTCTTTAATATATAAACTTTATTTATTTACATATAAGAAGTATAAAATATTATATTATTGAGATTGGGAGTTTGAATTTTTCAGGTAGATGTTTATCTTCTGCAAATATGACATGCTGAGGATGAGAATGTTACACACTGCTTCACCTATTGACAGAGCTTTTATTTGTTCTTTTATCCCAATAAGCGGACTTTTACTGGAAGAACAATTTAAAATATATTATATATTTATTATATTAGCTTGTAAACGCCAACATGGATTTTAACGGTTACTGCACTGACACGTCAGATGGTAGAAGTTGACATGGATTATAATGCTTTCTTTTATATTTATAAAAAAAATGCATGAAAACTGATTTTTTTTGGGGGGTTTTTTGAAACTAAAAATCTATTAAATACTATTCAGATTTTTTATTTTTATTTGGAAAGAAAATTAGTTAATTTTGGTTAGGTGGGATGTGCGGTTGGTATAACATCTATAGTTTTTCTTTTATATTGTATATAATGGTGTTCATTACTTAGAAATAATTAAATTGGTGTATGTGTTTTTATTTATGTGGATGGATGACTAATAATATATTAAATAAATACACGATGCAACACAATATAATTGAGTTGACCAACAAACGAAATCGTCATCTCACTAAAATAAAAATATCGATTAAAATTTAAATTTCGCGGGTGTCTTAACTCTTAACATATGAGACAAAATAATTATTTGTTTATTTTCTTGATTTGTTTTTTATACGGTTTTATTCTGCGCTCATGAAAAATACAAAATAATTATAACCGTGTAAATACTAAAAATAATTAAATTATACTTGTTGTGAAATGACTATGCAAAAGACAAATCTTAATATGCAAATGTAGTTAGCCTACTGTAGTTTGCATCTCTTGTATAATTTGCATATTATTATATAAGAGTGTAAGTAGTTCACCTATATTGTAAGATGCGGGTTCTTACGATTGGAAAAAAAAGTTAATCAAGAATTCGATGGATTTCTTCTTTAGCAACAAACTTTATTGGGAAATGATAACTTTAAAATTTGCTGATTTTCTATTTGAAGGGATGAATTTTGGGTAATTGAAATCTATCACTTAGTTGAATAATTGGATTAATAAAGGCGATGGGATGGGGAATAATTTTGATGGGCCATGATATTGAATGAGGATTATTTGTACTAATATTTGGCACCGACAGTCAAAATTGCTCTACTTTCTTGAAATTATGTTCATGCAAATTTAAAACACTAATTTAATGCGTTTATATTCACAAGGTCTAGGATTTTCTCAAATAATAAAAATTATTATTATTATAATAAGGTCTAGGAGTGCTTTTGTATGATCAATAATTTCCCACTTTTTAGTTCCCACTCTTGAATGATAATGTAAAAAATCAAAATCCTTTCATGTAACAAATTTCAAGAAATCGATATATAATTTATTCTACGCTCAATCGATGTTAGTTATAACCAATAAGTATTGGTAAATAATAAGTAGGGGAATGACATATTGCAAATCCTGAACCTATGCTGTAATAGTAGATGCTAGATATCATCTGTCCTAACGAGAATTGGTTCGTACGTAACAAATTGCTATAGTATATACAAGAAAAAAGCTACACCCGCTTTAAAAGTCGACCCTTTATGCATTATTCGATGATTAGAAAAAATATATAAATTCATGACATTATTTGATGATGATTATCATTATCTAGATTAATGACTTAACACCCACTTATTAACTATTGGAACCACCAATCAATTCTCAGAAATAAAAATTAAATTAAGGTCGCTTTAATTATAATTAGTACATTGCATTTGCATGGACCATTCAACAAGCCAAAATTAGTTTTTATTATTAATTAGATACGAACAAGTCGTGACGACTAATAAATAAAACAATATGAAAAAAATTGTAAAATATGACAAAAGATCCTCCATTTGGAGAACTGTCCCTATTAAGGTTTAATTGTGACACCAACCATCTACACACAAACTTCCATTTTTTTAAAAAGAAAAATATTTATTTTTTTACAATATATATATATAAAAAATATATAATAATTTATTGACCTTGATATATTAATGCATAAATACTTAATTATATTTAAATAAAAAATGATTAGGGTTACTAACAAAATGTTAAATTAAAAAATAACAATCAATAAATATATGTTGGGCTTTTTTTTTTTTTTTTTTGAATTTTCTTTTGATAGATGTGTTTGGGCTTTCTTTTTTACATCAGTAAAACTTAGCGTAGAAACGGTGATAACTATTTATTGTTAGACAAGTGACAGCTCCGCTGCCGGGTCTGCTGAGGTCATACGCTGGACTCGGCTTCCCTTTCATGAGCCGATTCGTTTAATCAGCTTACCGGCTTAGCTTAGCCGATATAGTGACCGAGGAGCTATAATCTAATGTGGCAGGTGTTTGGTAGCTTGGCAATTTGTCCTTATTCAATTCGTCACACCTGCATCACTCCCTTGTTAATTAGGGCACTTTCAGGTTACTGTCAAAAGTTGACTCTTTTGCATGATATTGCTAATTCGTAAAATTAGCTGTTTTTTCTACTATTTTTTAAGTCACACTCTTTGCATGATTTATCTAATTTGCATCTTTACATTTATTTATTTATTTATAATACATTGTTATTTGGTCAATAGAACGAGCTTATATAGAAATAAAAAATAAATAATAAAGACCACTTATGCTATTTTAATTTATTTTTTTGGTCAATAGTGAAAAGTCCTCTTCTACACATTTATAGAAAATAAAATAAAAAACCAAGAAAAATTGAAGAGCTAATTTTTTAAAAGGGCAAAAGAGTGAAGGGCAAAATAGTAACTCCACAAAAAAGAAAAGGAAAAGGATTGTCGGCAGCGTCAAGTACACACTTTAGCGGTTTAGCTGAGCCGGGTAAGCTAGCTACCGCCAACTCTTTCACCTGCAGCAACACTATACGTGTGGTCCCTCTTCCAGGCTGTCTACACATTTCCAACTTTACCCCTAAGAGAACTCTGTAATTCCGCTTTTAGCCATGTTCGGTGGGGCCCGCAAACCCCGTGTCAACATCTCACTTCCCTCCCCCGTCACCCCCCCCTTTTCTTTTAATTCCTTCCCCCTTTTTTATTTCCCACGCTATTCTTCTTTTAAGAGAGAGAAAGGAACACCGATTTTTTCTAGAGTGAGAAACCCAAATAACACCAAACAGCGTCATGGTTTCTCAGATCTATGGCGTTTTCTTCACTTTTCTGGCCATCGCAGCTTCGGCATTGCCGGAGAATCCAGCCACGGCGAAGGCCGCCGCCTCAAATTCGAGTTCTCAGATCAACTCTAATTCAGTTCTGGTAGCTCTTCTCGATTCCCACTATACCGAGCTATCGGAACTGGTGGAGAAAGCCCTGTTATTGCAGACTCTCGAAGAAGCTGTGTCGAAGCACAATATTTCCATATTTGCCCCCAGAAATGAAGCCCTAGAAAGGGATTTAGACCCTGAATTCAAGCGCTTCTTGCTCGAGCCTGGGAATCTGAAATCGCTTCAGAATCTGATTCTCTTCCACATGATACCCAGTCGCATTGAGTCCAAACACTGGCCCGCCGGTGTGCAGAAGAAGCAAGTCCACCACGCCAGCCTTTGCCGCGACGCCGGTGACGAGAAGATTCGGCTTCACGAGAAAAATGGAGAGAGAATTGTGGGCATGGCTAGGGTTATTAAGCCGGATGATATTATCCGCCCCGACGGAATCATCCACGGCATTGAGAGGCTGTTGGTACCGAAATCCGTTCAACAGGAATTCAACGCCAGGCGGAGCTTGAGGGCCACCTCCGCCGTTATACCGGAGGGCGCGCCGGAAGTTGATCCCAGAACAAACAGGTTGAAGAAACCCGCACCGCCTGTCGCCGCCGGCGCTCCGCCGGTTCTCCCCATCTACAACGCCCTGGCTCCCGGTCCATCCCTAGCCCCCGCCCCTGCTCCCGGCCCAGGTGGGCCCCACCACCACTTCGACGGCGAAAGTCAGGTGAAGGACTTCATCCAAACCCTCCTGCATTACGGCGGGTACAACGAAATGGCTGATATACTGGTGAATCTGACCTCACTCGCCACCGAGATGGGAAGACTGGTTTCCGAAGGGTATGTGCTGACAGTTCTGGCACCAAACGACGAGGCCATGGCGAAGCTAACAACCGACCAGCTGAGCGAGCCCGGAGCGCCGGAGCAAATCATGTACTACCATATCATCCCGGAGTACCAAACGGAGGAGAGTATGTACAATTCCGTGAGGAGGTTTGGGAAGGTGAAATACGACACTTTGAGATTGCCGCATCAGGTGGTGGCGGAGGAAGCTGACGGCTCGGTCAAATTCGGCCGTGGTGAAGGGTCCGCATATCTATTCGACCCGGATATCTACACCGACGGGAGAATTTCCGTTCAGGGAATTGACGGGGTTCTCTTGCCGCCGGAGGAAAGCAAGGCTCCTAAAGCTGCCCCTGCTGCCAAGATTGTTTCTAAACCTAGAAGAGGTATGCTGTTTTCCAGTCCAATTCTTTAATCCTTAAGCATTAATTTTCCGTTCGTGTTGATTATTAATTAGTTATAAATGTTCAATTGGTATATGTTTCTCTTGTCAATTGATTTGTGCAAATGGTAGCCGGAAAATTTTCATATAGGGTAAAAGTTTTGACCGGAGGTCCGGAATCATCGATTCCGGTGGCCGGTGGGGGAATTAATTGATTGAGGTAGTTTCCGGTGATTATAATTTGTCTTATACAGCTGTACCGGTGAGTTTGCTGAAGAGGTTAATTGTTATGAGTCCAAAGAATCATAGCTCTCCCACCTTTTTGGCTGTTTCCTTCTTTTTTGCTGAAAAGATTATACTCATAACTCAATATCTTAATTAAAGCTAACTTGCATAATTGATCCATTATGTATTAAAACACTTGTCTAATTAGGAGATTAACATGCTAAATAATGCAGTTATATTTTTAACGTGGAGGGTTTAGAGTTTAGTAATTAGGACGGCTGTCGTTGTAATCGCACATCGCTTTCGATCCTTTCTCATTACCAAACCCTTTGCTCGTGTTTCATTAATAAGCAAAAGTTATTAGTGGACTAAGACAAAAATAAGTCTTAGTAAATGAAATTAGGTATTGGATTTTTGTGTCGGTGCAAGTGTGTTTATATATATACATATATATAGAATACAGCTGTGGTTACACAATAATTCTTGATTGTAAAGCTTCAATTGTTGAGACCAGCCTGTATATGTTGGAGTTTTTGACCCCATAAATAATTATATGCACACTTCCTTTTTCTAATTGATCAGCTGTCTTATTCTATGGCCCCCCTTTGCCTTCAATTTCAATTTCAATATTATTTAATTAGAGAATTAATCTAAAATTTATTTCTTATAATTATGCAGGGAAGTTATTGGAAGTAGCATGCTCGGTTCTTGGGGCTGTTGGACAAAATTCTCACTTCTCTACATGTCATTAGATCTTCATACTCTGGAATTTATTTTATAAAAAAAAAAATAAAGGGAAGGAAAAACAAAAATGATGCAAAAAGGGTAAGTCTAAATTCATGAGACACGTACATATTATTATTACAAGTATAATTTATTAATTGTAATAACATTTGTTTTGTTTGTTGAATAATTTGCAGTTGTTTTAGGATGGATGTAGTGGAGGTATCTTGTTTGTATTGTGTTGAAGCTGTTGCTGCTCAGAACCCCACAGGAGAGAGAGAGGCAGAGAGAGAAAAGCTCTTCCCTTCTGTTCTTTTGTTTTTTTTTTTGGGTATAAATATTAAATACTGTAAATTACATAGCAATTTTTTAATTTGTATTTAAGTTTGTACCACCGACAGTTTCAGATGTATGCACAAATATACACTTCTTTTTTGAAGAACGTATTATTTTCTTATTATTTGTTCATCACCACCACCACATTCACGGGTGGCATCATTTTTTTTTTTTTTTTTTTTTATTTCTTTTTATTTATAATTATTATTACTTTTCAGCATCCAATACAATTCTTGTGATCCTATTTTCCACTTTTTCTATTTCTTTTAATAATCACCTTTGTCTGAATAGAAATGATTAATGAACCTTCCTTTCCTTTTCGTTTAACCACTTTATTTTACACTTTAACTAATCGTGTAATGTGTGGACGGCTATTAATTAATGGACCACTGTTTAATTAAAGAATATAGTAATATATATATTTTATAAATAAAACTTAAATAATATGGTACTTTTTTTTTTTAAATTAATAATTGATCAATTTTCATTGATGTTGTAGTATATTTATTCAATGAATATAGAGTTTGATTCAATTAGTAAGAAATAATCGAATATATATAAAAAAGAATTCTAGATACTCGATTTCTATTCATATATAGCTCGACTATTTCGACTCGACTGAATTCAGTTAAATATGCACTCTACATCACAAGATCCCATATTTTTTAATTGTATTATAATAGATCTAAAACCCATGCTCTAGTCGAACGTGTTAGAAGTCACACGACCGAAGCATGAACATAATTATGAAATTAATTTACTACATAGTACAATCGAGTCTTCCAAGAATCAATTTGGTTGTTAGGTGAATTATATTAATAATTATTATTAATATTTAATACTCGAAAAAGACAGCCTCAGTGGGTAAACGAAGAAGATGCCCTTCTCTCAAATATATCAAATGAGGATCTTCTCAATTATTGGTTGCATCCCTGAAATTAATTCTTCTAATTACAACCACTTTAGTTAATACAAAATTTAATTTAAGCAAATTTAATTAATAAAATCATGTTCGGACATGCTAAATATTTATTCCATTGACTTTATTCTTTGATCGGCTACTGCAATTTACTCCAACCTTCACTAACAAGACAGCTTCCAACTCAGAATTCTTGCATGTGCTACCGTACTTGGAATCTAATCAATACATTATATTTTTATTACTATTCATTAAAGAAAAAAAATATATATATCATTACATAATATATATTAGATATAATAGTCCAATTTTTAGTTAGTCATAAATCCTATATAATCAATAGCAAAAAAAAAAGTTAAACAATCTTGGTTTCAAGAACTCATTATGTCGATCCAATCCGGGCCGAATCCGACCTCAAATTAGGCCGTAAACCCGAGTCCACGTGAAAATTTGAATAAAACACTTGAATGAATTTCGATACACAATGTAATGCACACGTACTATAGCTGTAGAGACAACATACATATATATATATGAAAAAAAACTCAGAATTTAACATACAACAAAACTATTCACAACAAACTGTATAGTAGTTTGACAGTTGAAAATTTCCAGGATCGAGGAGAAGCGCGATTACTGTTCTTGAACCAGCTTCGATTTCAAACACTGACTTGTGCAAGCACTTCCTCTGAATTAAGATTTGATATTCCATTACAGCAAGAAGAGTTTTTTCCAGAACCTTCTAGAATCTGATCGTGTATGATTTCTTTGTCTTGTCGTCCCTCTGCTGGAAATTGCTTTACTTTCCTAGCAATGGTGGTAGGTTCTTGATTTTTTGGCTTTGATAACGAGCTTTTTCCGGACCTTTTTAAAGCAGAGCCGCCATTTGATGCCTTTGGCGAATTGCAACTACTGTTTTTATTTATTCTCGGAGTACTAACACCATTTTCAACTGAGTTTCCAGATGGGGATAATGCACTGTCTTTTTGCCTTCCAAGCTTCGGAGATATCGGTCGAGTAGTCGGTATCTACATTCATTCAAAAAATAATAATAATAAATAAATAAATTGTGGAATAAATTAGGATTTACTAGTAAGATAATTACCTTCTTGAGTTCAGGTTTTGGAAGAGGTTCTTTGTAGAAGCTCGGCATGGGTGCAGCTTTAAATGTCAAGCTCTTCCTAAGTTGCTTTATTTCCGCATCTCGACTTTCCTGCGTTCAACAAAGCATCTTTCGTTTTTTGAGTATTAATTCAACAAATTAGTCAACTAGTCAACTAGTGTGTGAGTATTCATTAAGCACCTTTGATTTAGCTTTCATGTTATTCTTTTCCTCTTCCTTGGCTTGTACCTTCTCTTCTATCTTCGAAAAGAACTGATCATCGTCGAAGATAGACCATTTGTCATTGCATTATTTCACTCAGACAATTATTAACAAAAAAAATACAACGACGATGCCATAAAAAGATTCTACCTCCTTTCGTTTTTCAGCCCGTTTTTCCGACCTGAATGAGAATGCAGAAACGCTAATCCTCTGCTGTCCCCGAGCAGTGAGATTTCTGTTTATTTAAAGTAGTATAATTCAATTTTTTTTTTCTTTTCAAATTTCAACAGAAAAAATGAAATTAAATGACTGGAGTCTTATAAAAAGAAATAATACGATGAAGTGGCTGAATGAACATCGTCCTCCTTCGAAACCGATGCATTATTGTGGCTATGCTCAGAAGTTCCGTCAACCACCAATCTGCACTTGTAATTAACGATGTAATAAGATAAAATCCTAACCAATAAGTAATTAACAACAAAACCATAAAAATGATGGTACATAAGTACATACTCATCAAGTGCAGTTGCATTAGCAGACACATCTTTCCCTGTCTGAATTACAAAGGGCAGAAAATAAAAATAAATCAAGAATTCAAGAAAAATATACAAATTGAAACAAAAAGGAAGAAATTGTTTTCACCATAGATAATGCCGACTTTCGAGAAGTATTACTTATCACACTCTTCGACTTCTTCAATCCAGGAAACGGAGCAGGATTGATTGATCTCGGACTAGAACAAACGTTATTCGAGATTTGTGACTCGACTTTCGAACTATTTATCCGAGACTGTCTGATATCAGCTTTACTAGGATAAACCTCAATGCTTCTTTTCATTACATCCGAATGGCCGCGGCCTTTGGACGGAAACGAGAGGCTCTGCGTCAAGGTCGATCTAGTACTCCGGCCGAAAACAACAGATGTTTTCGACTTGGCCAATTTAATGTTTTTTGGATCTTTATTAGCAGGATTTGATGATGTAGTATTATTAATACTACTGTTTGGTACTGTTTGGGACAAGATTATTTCTGGCGGTGATGAATTAGGGCCCTCTTTGTCTGTTATCTCTTCTTTACAGACTTGATGATTTACATCTGATTTCTCAACAATTACCTTTTTTTCATCTTCAACATTTTCAGTCTCCATTTATTACAGAGAGATCAATCAATTACCTAAAAAAAATTGGGGAAAACATAAATTGAAACATATATAAAACACAGCCTAATTAATCAGCAGTAATATAATCAAATCCGAGAAATTAGATGGAAATTAACAAATTGAAAGAAAAATCATGAACAGTGAAGAATTGATTAGTTTCGAAGAATTTAGGTATTACAATGGAGCGTGACAGAGATGAGTGATCAGTGGGGATTTTTGAGCTGCAGAAATTGAAGAAGAAGCAAGATGAAAAATATGAGAATTGATTATTACCTTGTTTGAGGTTTTGTTGAAGCAAAGCAGCAATTTATGCGTGGAATTTGAATGATGTCTCTGTTCGACAATTATCTCTGTCTCTGTGTGAGAGAGAAGTGTGTGTGTGTGTGAGAGAGAGAGAGGGAAGCTTCTTCTGGTTTGATGGAAATTTAAAAATGTAAAAAAGAAAAAAAACGGATAGATTTAATGGGGGAAATTCAGAAAAAGACTAAAATGCCACCCGCTTAACTTCTTCCTAACAACCACCTTCACAGCCTAATCCAACTTTCAATGGGAAAAAAAAAGGACAGAAAAACAATTTTTTTTATAAACCAGGCAGATAGCAAATTTAATTATGTTTTGGTATATTATTATTATCCCTAAAAACTTACCTACTGTGTATATAAGTTGGGAATCTTCCCTAATTTGAGGGGTTTTATTTCTTTCTTATATGCGTGTCTGTGTATGTATATTTCGCAATTTGAAGTTGATATATATACATGTGAAGCACGTAGACAATATTGTTTTCTACTTTCCACGACTACGAAAAATAAATAAAAAATCGAAACTGAAATAAATTCCTAGTCTTGCTAAATTTAAATCAAATTAAATGAATATTCTCTTGCTTGATGCTCAGCTCGTGGACATGGTCAAGTGACATATCAATATTTTCCTTAGTTTATTTTAAAAGTACCTCCTGTTTAATGTAAGCACGTACAAATACTTACATATATTGTTGAGTATATACGTGTACCAAGAGATTAATTAAAATATACGTAGGTCAAAGTAATTATTTGAGTTGCTTAAATCTCTCTCTCTCTCTCTCTCTCTCTCTCTCTCTCTCTCTCTCTCTCTCTCTCACACACACACACACACACAAGAAACAATTTATTAAAAATCATATCATTTTCTCTAAAAGTCTTCACCATGGACATGTCCTTTGTGTCTCTTATATAATTTACATGAAAATGATGCTTTTGTGAACTCAAACATATAATATACAAACAAACCATAAGAAAAGGAAAAAAAAGGAAGAAGTTATATATATATATATATATATATATATATATATATATATATATATATATATATATATATATATATATATATATGTAAAAGGTTGTGAACTCAAACATGGTACCACGACCGTATGTCTTAATTTTAATCAAATAAAATACTAAGGCAGTTAATCATGGAAAATACAATTGATCACTTCATCAGAATTAATATACATCCTTAAAAATTGCATTTCATATAATTTTTCCATTTTTTTATTTTTATTTTTTAATTACAGAAATATTGATGTTATTAAGCTTTTCATGTCTTAATCTTTGTCTGGAATCACAATCGTATGAAATAAATACTGACAATGCACATTTGCTCAGGATATGATATATTGGCCCTATTCCCAACAGAATTCTTGTTGGTAATACTTTTGTATCTACTAATTGCCAAACTAAACATGGATTTAATAAAGTAATTTTTTCACTTTTTCGCCCAAATGAATTAGTGAAATCCAACTCTCCTCTGAGGAGGCCCAACACTCCAAGTTTAAGAGCACAAATGGCCCAAGTGATCGATCAAACTTCAAGAATAGTCCAAAACTTCAATCTTGATCGTTAATTCTCACCACCTTGATCCACTCTCTTTCCTTTGATCGTACCATCGCACTGAATGCAAATTTGCATTTTCCGAGCGACACACTTGTTTGACTACGGCGATGAATCTACTATATTTATAATTAATCTGTTTTGTTTGCTTCGAGAGTTCAAATAGGTGCCTAACATAAACCGGACTTGTAATTTCATGCCAACCATGAAATATCATTATATCAGTCGCGTTATTAGAACCATAGGAGATGAAATCGAGTTGTATTGTGATTGATCATGTCGAATTAATTGTATTGGTTTCTTGTTGTATTAACAATTAATCACTTGTACTGTCACGGTCACTCCATTTTTATTCCTAAAAAAAGGAAACTAACAAAATTAAATTAAATAATTAGTCCATTTATATGTTCGAAATCTAATTGCATAGCGTTAGATTTTCTACAATTTTTTTAAAAATAAGAATTGGCTAACAAAAATAAAAAATAAAAAATAAAAAATAGTCTCTTGCCCCAAAAGACCAAAAATGTCAAATCAGCCTTTCAGCCAAGAATTCATCGAGGGCAAAACTGTCAAAAGACCTGCAGACAATGATTGATTGAATAAAATAAAACTCAGAGACGGCAGAACGTGGGGGGCTACAGCCTACAAGCAGATTCTCTGGTTTTGTACCTTGAGTCCTACGTGGCAAAAAGGAGCAACGTGATTGGTCTACTTCGGAACGTGTTATCACCAACCGTTGATCATGAGTTGTATTAAATTACATTTTTTTTAATAAAAATATTTATAATTGTGTTTGGAGGTTGATATGTTGTTTTCAAGGCTGGCAAAACAGCCATACTTACCCGTTTTAGAATCATTATCACCCCTGTTTCATTTCTATTTGGATCAAATGTAGAGATTTTAATAAAAAAATATCGTTATTTATCAAAAAAAAAAAAAAAAAAAAAATATCGTAATTAATTTGAAATGTTTGTCCATAACCTAAATTCTAATATCTTCAATATTAATAATTAGGACACACCAAATATGTATCCAGACAAATATGCATACAACATAAGCAGAATATGTATAAAATATATACACACACACACACCAAATATATATCCAGACAAAAAATCCACACCATGCAGAAATTTCATCATTTAAGAAAAAAAAAAATTTGGAATTCCAAATATTGATGCTGAAAAAAAAACCACAAAAAAAGAAAGTAAGAAAAAATATGGTTTAGTTATAAACATTGTTAACAAACTGGCATAGCCTCCCTAATCCCAATCTTAAACTTGTTCTGTAACCTCTTCCTACCGAAATCCGTATTTCCTTTCTGCATCATCGCCACAAACTCGTTATAGTCTATTCGACCGTCCTGCAATAAATACCGTAAATTATCCGTATCAGCATTATTAAATGTATATAATTAAAACATTGTTACATTAATCGTTATAATATATATACTTACGTTGTTTTGATCGACTTCAAGAATCATTTCTTCCAGGTGAAGTTCCTCTATGCCAAACTCTTCACACGCTTTTTGAAGCTCGTCTTGTGTAATAAAACCGCTCCCATCCTTGTCAAAGTACGAAAACGCCCTAAACAAATGATCCTCCTTCTCGATTTTGTTCATATGCAATGTTGCCGCTATAAACTCCCCATAGTCGATTGTACCACTATTATCAACATCTGCCTGTATATCATTAAAAAAAATTATTTAATAATAAGTGTCGAATAATTGAAACAAAACATATATACGTGTATATATATACATACAGCTTTCATCAAGTCATGTATCTCAGATTCGTTAAGATTATGTCCACATCGTTTGAGGCCAGCTTTGAGCTCTTCGAAAGTGATATTGCCACTGTTATCCGTATCTATCATTTTGAACATTTCTTTAAGCCCGGCAATTTCTTCTTCCGATAGGCTTTCAGCAATGACCTAATCAAACAGATAACCGATTTCGAGATTGTAATAATTTTAAGGAAAAAAAAAACAAATATTGATAATATTCAAATTAAACAGCATACATACCCTGAGAGCCATTTTCTTAAGCTTGTCCATAGCCGAAAACTGTGTCAATCGACTTAGAACTGCAGAATCGAGAGGCTTATCTGGAGCTACTCCATCAACTTGCACCCAAGGATGACCTGGCAGAAACATAATTTTTGTAAGATAATTTTTTTTCCAAAATTAATTATCTTCGTTGAATAATATTGAAACTCACATAGAACTTGATGAGCGGTTAAGCGCTTTCTTGGATCACGTAAAAGCATTTTCTTGACTAAATCCTTTGCACTTTCGGATATTTTAGGCCAAGGATCCGAAGTGAAGTCAACATCACCATTCAATACCTCTTCAAATATTTCTTGCTCACTCTCTACCAACACAAAACTCGAAGCATAAGAGTTTATTCGAAATGCACGAAAAAATAAAGCAAAGAAGAAAAAGAATTTCTTTTTTATCTTACCGCCCCAAAACGGAGGCACACCGGAAAGAAGAATATAAATTATTACACCTGCACTCCACACATCTGCCTCCGGTCCATAACGCTTACAAAGCACTTCCGGTGCAACGTAATAAGGACTTCCGACTACATCACCGAATACATCCCCTACAAACATTTAAAAATATATATATATAAAAAAAAAAGCGTAAAAACTCATTGTTATTATTCTATACTTAAAAATGCATGTAGACTAATGAAAGCACAACTAATCATCATTGATGCATTTAAAAACACGATCTTGAAACGACAACAAACACAAACTTTCGGGAAAAATAAAAAAAATACCTGGCTTGAAAAAAACGGACAATCCGAAATCAATGGTCTTAATAGGGGAATCCTCCTCTTGATTAACAAATAAAAAATTCTCCGGTTTAAGATCCCTATGCATCACACCTAAAGAATGACAAGTTTCAATCACGCCGACAATTGTTCTAGTAAGTTCCGCAGCCTTCTTCTCCGAGTAATGGCCCCGTTTAACGATCCTGTCAAATAGCTCACCGCCCGCACAAACTTCCATTACAACATGCACCGCCACAGCATCTTCGTAAGCGCCCTTTATCGAAATAATGTTAGGGTTTCCGGATAAATGGTGCATGATCTCAATCTCTCTCCTCACATCGTCCACATCGTCTTGTGACAGTAGCTTCCTCTTTGCAATGGATTTGCAAGCGTACTCTTTTCCGGTTTTTCTCTCCACGCAGAGAAAAGTCGTACCGAATTGACCGTGACCGAGTTTGTGCCCTAAATTGAAGTGCTCTTTCAAGTGCCCTGTTTTGGTTCTCAAAACAGAATCCACTTGTAGGCCCACACTCATCATTCTCTTAACATTGTGAGCTTTCTTGGTTTTCGGAGCTTCCGTTACCGGTTTGGGTTTTTCGGTTACTGTAACAACGGCCGTTTGAGCGGGGGTAATTTCGTCATTCTTGATTGTGTCCTCCCACGTTCGGATTTCCTGAGGTTGTTTTGGGGCTTCCTTGGGGATGATGATCACGGGCTCGGTTTTCGCGGGTGGTGGTGGTTGTGGTTTTGTTTCGACTTTTTCCTCGAACTTCAATACTTCGGGGGGTTTGATTTCGACATGATCGGAACCTTCTAGAGCTTTCGAGGGGGTTGAATCGCCGGTTTTTTCTTTGTAAAACTGTGTGGAAGAAATCATTTCTTGCGACTTATTAGACCACCACAACGAACGCGAAATCGTGTGGAAGAAACCATCTTTGGCAATTCTACCATTGACACAATTGTTTCCCATCTGTTAATCAAAACTATATATCGAATATTCCCTTAAAAAAAGATCCTCACTGTAGAAATTCAAAATTGAGCATTATATGCATGATGAACCCTAATTTGCAGAGATCGAAAAGTCAGAGTCAGCGAATTTGAAACAGCGAGCACAAACAAACAGTGTCTGACAAAATTAGGGAAATTCAAAAACCACTAATTAAACCCTAGTTCAAACATGTATACATGTGGAAGAAAGAACAATTCAAAAAAATTAAACAATAATCACTCGGAAAATAATAAAAAAAAAAGTCAATCGGGGGAATGTACGAGAGTTGAGCAATACAGAGAGAATGAAAACTGAGAGAGAAAAGAAAATGGCGATTGGGGAAGAACAAGGGTTATTATTATTTCTCTTGTTTGGATTAACTTCTTGTTTACCAAGTCCCTTTGTCCCTCCATTTATAAATTATATATAATATATTATATATTATATATATTCTTAATTAAAAAAAAATAATATGGGTTTGGATTAGGGTTTTGATTTTCCTCTGTTTCTCTCTCTCTTGAAATAAACGACGAGAAGGGAAAAGGAGGAAAGAAGGTGACAGGTTTTTCTGTTGGAAGCTTGGAATGTTTCCAATTAAAGTGAATACGCGTTTAATTAGTAAATACTACAATTAAATATGCTCTTAATTAATTACTTATTGAAGCAATTAATATGACATTAAATTTTTTTTTTCTTCTAAAACTGCAAATTACAAAGTGGTTTGTCATTAATTGCATTCAATTATAATATTTGATTTTTTCCTATTACATAAACGAGATAATGTAGAAGTTTATGCAACAAAATATATTAGTATAGGATTTCTATGATTTTTTCGTAATATTTTATTTTATGCAATGATTTTTTTTTTTTTCAATCATTTGTGATTTTAGAATTTCAATGATATATTAATTATAATATTCTAATTTTTTTTAATTAATTAAAGAGAGTTAGTGAAATAAAAGTGATGATAAGGGTATTTTTTTTTTTTTTTTTGGTAATGCAGGAACCCGCAGCCAACCATATAGGTGCACTACCTACACGCTCGTATAATAGCTTGCAAACCATACGAGAGATGTAAACCACACTAGGCTAACCATGTGTGACAAGCTCGACCTAGCGACCGTTGGCAAGGGGATTCGAACTTGGGTCAATTGACCCAAGCTCTCTTGCTCCAACCGCTAGGCCACCCTTGCGGGTGATGATAAGGGTATTTTTTGTTATATTATATTTGCATCTTAATGAAATACAAAATCTTATACATGTGGTCATTATATTTATATTATGTACACGTATTAAGGATTTTGTATGTCTTATGATTTTGACTTTGGAAGTGGTAAGCCACTAAGCTGGTGATTTATTTATTTTTTAATTATTAATATAATATTTCATGTATGTCATAATTAATAATTTATTGACTTAAAAATCTAAGGTTTAACGCCAGCCTGCTGCAGCCGGCGAATGCCGGGCTGATACCATATAATATTACATCCTTTATTTTATTTTATTAGTAGTAAGAATAATCAACATTAATTCACATAATTCCCAAAATAAAAGTTCAAACAATATAATGATGCTATAAAATTGATTAGGTCAGAATAAAAGTTAGGTTTAAATGATGTTATAATTAATATGGTCCAAAACGTGCAGTCACATTTCACAAAATTCAACTTCAAGTATGGAAATTTCTCAACATTTTTATCTACCAAACTAATTAAACCATATTTATTAATGACAAAGAAAATTAGAAAAAAAATATCTAGATGTAATATTTCCAGACATCTCTTAGCCAAACCGGAAAGATCAACATCCCCATCGGACTTATTCTCACGAATGCGAGATTCTTCTCCACGCTTATGTGGCGATGAAGCATCTTAGTCGAATATGTGTGGGACCCGCCCGAAACACATATTTTGATTTAATTTGTCTTGTGGAAAATAGCCTCAGATGGTTATGACTCAGCTGATGTTCTAGTTGCTTCTCGATCGATCTCATGCAAGAGGAGAACGAGTTCTCGACTCGGGCTGCTCTTTTCATAATGTAGCTATATTAAAAACAAAATAATATTACAACCTTGTACTGTACTATTTTCGAAATGATAAACTGTAAGAAAAAGGCCATAACATCTTACATTAACTTTGTTATTGGTCAGAAAACAAATGTAAATGCAAACAACAAAACCTATGTTTTTTCTTTTTACTATTAGTTGCCATAATATTCCCATTAGTATTAATTGCATCAGCAGATTTATATGGTGCTTCATCCACAACTGATGCAGGCACAATCTTGATTTGTCTTGTTTCCTTTGTGCAAGAAGCCAACCCTTTCTCCCTGAAAACAACACACACACACACATATATGTTTATGTATGTATATATCAAATAACTAACAAAAAAAATCACTTTCTTTTTTATTGAAGCAATAAAAAAGGAATTAATTAATTACCTGGAAGCATGACTCAGTTCTTTTGATTCCATTCCGGAAGCTTCGCCACATTTTTCATTCTCTCGACTCACTTGATTATCACCTACTTCCGACGAAATTATTTCTTCGTTCTCTAAATTATTTAAATTTATTTTCTTCCCAATAGAAGCATCCTCCCTATATACAGAAATGATTTTTTCCAACGTATCCAATGCCCGTCCCACCTCTGGTCGAATACGAGCCTTATTACCATCGTTATTAAACTTTTCATCAAATTGTTTTTTCTGAAAATCCGATGATTTCGTACTTTCGTCTTCTTCAAGCTCCTCGATTTCATTTATCTTGTTTTGATGTTCCGAATCATCAGTAACACATTCGTCATTAACACTACCGATATTTTCATCACCGTTGTTGTTGTTGTTGTTGTCTTCAAATAATACAACTCCACTTTGGTTTTCATGCATAGTGATCGATTTACGTTTTTCCAGATTTTCAATATCACGAGCCTCGGTGTAAAGGGCCCCACGTGTACGAACATAAAGTGGATCCATTAATGCCTCGCGGAATTTTTCATCGCCTTCACAAACAGAAGCAATTTCCTGTAATAATAGTTTTTCTTTAGAAAATCGATCGTAAGTTATTCATATTTGATTTCGACGAATGTCACAACAAAAATATTTTTAGAAAAATAAAATTAAACCTTTTTGTAGAGCTTGAAGCCGCTACCTATTAACTGCCTCGAGATAAAATTGATAAATGCAGGAGGCACAAAATCTAATTTAATATCCATATTTGCTATCGTCCTGCACGCAATTAGTTCAAAAGCAGTAACTTTCCGAAAATAGAGAAATTGCAATAACATATAATTCGACATAAAACTTACCGAAAATAGCTCCGATTTGCAGTAACTTTCTGTAAAGCAAACCCTCCCACAACATCTATTCTTACAACTTCCTCTGCATTTGGTATCCCTTCTCTAGTGAATCCATGACTACTTCTATCGATCATATCAGAATCGGGAATCTGGAAATTCGATATTTTTTTTTTTAATTTAAAAAAAAATATAAACAAGATTGCTTTTCCATATGGTGATTTAAATACACGAAGCACGATTATTTTACCGAGTTAAGGAGTACCACCACAAGATCATCTTGGAAGTAATCGAACGCAAAATAATGTATTAGAGCCTCTCTGCCTGATAACGGCCACGAAACCTTCATCCTAAATATATATTTCCAAATAAATTAATCATCTTAAAAAAAAAAATTAGCTTGTAATAAGTTCGTCAATTCGAATATTACCTTACTAAAGATATCTGTTCACCGGTTCGAAGTCTTTGCAAACACTGCGACGAAACGATTTTAAAAGTCGGAACTGCACTTTGAGGCCACCTGGCCGGTCAAATAATTAACATTGTTAAAATCGATCGATTTTTTTGTTTCGATTTACGTACTGAATTTGTAACTCTTACCATTTGCTATAGAGTACCGATTCCCATGAAATACATAGACCTGTTAAAGATTCAATATTATACTTTTAAGAGAGAAAAATAAATAAATAAAATTAGCAAATTAGTTTAGCTTACAAACATCTACTGGTCCATCGACATAGCCTTCAACAAGAAGTGTGTGAAACGGGCTGCCTTCGTGACCTTCTCGATACATAACTCGGAATTCATCGGTGTCTTGTTTTAACTAACATGTAAGAAAATGTAAATATTAGTCGTCCCAAATTAAACACGTAAATAGAAATAAATATATATATAGACAGATTTAACATATACTTTCCAGGCACCGTCGTCCACCGAGGCACTCCTCAACATTGTAAGAAAATTCGAAACCTCCTTACTTCTTCTTTCCACCACATTTTCGATGCATCCTGGAAAGGACACGTCACGAGGGCATCATCGTAATTAATGCTACTTCGTATATCAAAAGGAAAAAAAAGAAACAGTAAACAAGTCGAAATTTAAATAACCTTCGAAATGAGAACCGGAGGATGACAGCAAGATTTGATTCTTGACAAGGGTTCGAAGGGTTTCATCGTTCGTCAAATCGGGAGATGATAACGTCTTGTCCAGCCTGTTTCTGTAATCGGAGATATTTCGTTTTCCCTCCATTTTTAAGCATGTCCAAGAAACAGAGAGATCTGCTCTGATTCAATTAACAGAAAACTGCTGACTATGGTTTTAAACAGAAATAACGAACAGCTCTGAATAAATAATTAAACACACATAGTAACATGTGAAAATGGTCTAAAAAGCTGGTGAATTAAACTCAATTGGCTTAGTTTGGATTTATGAATTGCAAAAGAAATGAAGATCTCATGAATATGAGAAGGGGACAGCTTCAGCTGATGACACTAATTAAGGCATTCTTGAACACAACGAAATTGCAGACAAACGGATGAATAAAACCAATGTTGCCTTAACTTTTTCTTTTTTTCCAAAGTATGGTTGAATAAAACAAAGAGATAACCTTATTAATTAAACTATTGAGATATACAAATACAATCCATCTTGGTGGTGTACATGTGTCGGTTTGCCTTTCTGATTTTATATTGAGTAAATTTCATTGGAATCGAACTTAAGTCAATTGACACCGAAATTTCTTGCACCATCAAAAAGACCACCTCTCGAGCTAACATGCAGCTACTCGAAATTAATCGGGTATATTTCATTGGAATGGAACTCGAATCAAATAATACTGCATTCTTCAACTTCTACTATTAGAGTACATGTCTGGAGTTCAAATCATGTCGCATCCGGCCTACTTTCTCAATTTGTAAAATTTGAATTAAAAATAATGTATATATACATAAAGAGTGAAATAATTCACAATATCACATACTAGCATTTATAAACCCTATATATATTTTTAATGACTATAATATCATTAGGTCCCACCGAAACACCGAAATATAGCCGTAACAGTTGAGTCCCGGGCAACAATAGCTTCATTAATAGTTATGGTAAAGAAAAAGGTTATCCTATTAAATAGTATTAATTTATTCAATTATTGGTAGACAGCCAATTAAACGGCCATCCTTTAATATCCAAGTATATAAATCAATCTCTACATCAATTCATTGGATTTTATTTTCATCAATGTTTATTTTTTTTCCAAATTAATTATTTATTTATTTCATTCATCAAATTTTAGAGAAGTTTATGGCTAATAGTCTAATACGATGCCAACTTATTTAACTATTTTCATTATGATAAACTATTAAGAAGTATAGTTCTACATTTCTAACCATACTCACTCATTAAAAAAGAAATATATTTATTTTTACATTAAAAAAAAATGAGAAAGACGTGTTCCTCATTAACTGCTTTCAATAATTTTGCCAACTCACTCCAAAGGCTTATTCAAATGTGTATTAAATTTGATTTTTATAGGGGTACAAGTTTAACACAGATTCATACAGGACTCTTGTGTATCGAATTTATGTTAAAATCTCATATAGATCCAAATAGAGAAACATACACGTTTTGATCACTTATGTCAATCTAGCATTGGTCCATCAGTTAGAAGTTAAAACATGGATCGACACATACTTGACTCCGTTACTGCTAACGGAAAATTGACGAAAAGTTAAAAAATATTAGATTTCCAAACTTCAGGGACTAAATCTATTTTTTTGTAAACAAAAAGGACCAAATGTGGAATCAAGGTAAACTTAAGGGACTAAAAGATTATTTTTCCCGGCCCAAGTAATTACAAGTTTCAATCTATGGCACTGAAATATTACGACTTAGGCCCATATTAACTATGAGTAAATCGGCCCAGACTGTGTAAACTAATGTGGGTCGGGTCAACCCATGATCCGATCTAATTATTTAATTATTAAGTTTTAATTTTTATTTTTAAATGTATAATAATGTAATTGTCGCAATTCTCACTTTTTTAGGCATTCACTCCCCCGAAAGCATATTTCGACTCTCTCAGTTCTTCACAGTGTGGCTCCTCCGCCTCGCAATTGTTCTTCTTCCCAACTCTCATAATCCACTCTGCTTCTATTTCTGGTAACTTTCTCTCATAGATTTATGCTTGTTTACATTGATTTTAAGCTTCAATTTTTTTCCATGAAAAATGACTTTTTCTTTTATAATTAATGTTATGGATGTTTGATCAATAAATTGATGATTCGTCCCTCCCGGTTTTGAAATGCTAAATTTTCTTCCTGAAAGAATGAATAGATAGAAGTGCGTAGCGAATAATAATAATAATAATAATGCTAAGATTTTAGTTGGTTTGAGGGTTGGGAAGGGGTTATTAATTATAGACGAGATTTTATAATTCATGGTTTCCCTTTTTCATTTCTTCAAAGAGATTGCTTGTTTTTGTATTCTGGAGAGATTTAGCGGGAAATAGGTGTTGTTACGAGGAGCGTTTTGATTTGAGTTTGGAATAATTTCATGTGCACCCAACGTGTTCGATGAAATGACAAATTTGTTCTCTTGTTTGCGAGTGACTGTAGTGTTAGATTTGGTTGCTTTCTATTGCGCAATGATGAAACTTATGTTGCTTCAATTAAATAGTTAAGGTTTTACTGAAATCTCGTGGGAGTACACAAGTTGAAATAAATTTATATTTCTCCATAAATTCTTGCTTTTGATTCTAGTTGGGTTTGTTTGTTGGTAAATGCTGAAATGCTTGTCACTCTGGTTTTTAGCGAATTTGATATTGCGGAAGCCTTTCTTCAATAGAACTGTTTGGACCAAAAATTATGGCGGGCTGGCAGCGACATTTGCAGTCGTTTGTGCGTCAGGTTGCCAAGAGATCTGAATGCAGTGGCAGTGCTTCATTCAGTACTTTCAATCGTACACAGGCTTCTCTGGTGTCTGGTAATTTTGTATTTTGAGTTGAATGAAAACTGGTGATTCATTGCACTACAAAAGAACTTCAGTTCATAAATAATGCTATTCCATTGCTATATGGTTATAGCAATGGCTCTATTGAGTTCCTTATCCGTCTACTGTTGTCTATTCATTTTTATTTAATTTTTTATTTTCGGTGAGAACTTTGCAGGTGAAGTGTCCTCTTTGTCAACCCTGCGGAATTCACTATGTCCTACTATTTCGAGGCCGATGTATCTATATTTACAGAAAATGGTAACTTCCACATATTCATTCTCCTTTTCTCTAAAATGGCTAAAGAAAACATTTCTTATCTTATATCTGTACATGTTTTAGATTAAGAGAGTCCGACGCATGCGATTTTTTTTTATATCTTTTGTTATTGTTTGCTGATTAAGTTATCACTTTTAAGCACTTGACTTGATTATATTCGCAAGTGCAATGCTAGATTTAACATATTACAGAGTTCATTTTCTTCTTGGCGTTGAGTCTTCAATGACTGATTAGTAACCAACTCTACTTTCCAACTCATCTACCTTGTGTATTTTTTCGTTAGTTGAGAATGTACATCTTCCTTTTCTCAGGAGTTCACCAACTCGAGAAGCTTACTTGCAGAATCATCTGAAGCAACTCCAATTTCTTCACCGTTAATACCATATATACCCTCAAGTACTGGAAATACTGAAACTCAAAAGGCCATTACTAAGCCTTCAACTGTTCAAGCAATTTTGAAGGGAATAAAACAGGTATAGCCTCTTTCACCCTGACGTTCAGCAGTTGCAAACTTAGATCAAAGATTCTCAATGACTTGGTTTTCATCATGTTTGCAACTTTGTCTCTGTTAAATGAAATGCCCATATCGCTTGTTTCACTATTTCTCTGGATTGATTTCGTACTACCTTTAGTTCACTCTCTTTTTTACCCTATTATGCAATCAAAATATGTAGCGTGTCACGGTTAACTTCCCATGTCGTGACAATCATGGACATAAAAAACGCTTAAAAGAACATTTTGAACTGGATGGTTTTGTCTCAGTGGGATTACTTTAGGAGAAAGTCGCCTGTCTTTTATTAATGTAAATCAGTGGTGTTACAGATATTGGAGAGTAAGATTTTGTATACTGTTTTTTTCCGTTTTCTTCTTTGATTATGTGGATTTCTTACCGTGTAGTCATGTCTATTTCCTGCCCTGAAAGCCTTTTTGTTCTGTATTTTCATTTTTCACATTGGTTTAATACATGAGTTTATTTCAGAGTCCGAAGAAGGTAAACTTGGTTGCTGCATTGGTGCGTGGAATGCGTGTGGAAGATGCATTGTTGCAGCTGCAAGTGAGAGTTAAAAGAGCTGCTAAAACTGTCTACCAGGTTAATTTTTATGCTCTAGAGTTGATCAAATCCAAAGTTAAGCAGATTTTTCTAGTTCAATTTAACAGGATTGTTGATCGGTTTACTTGTCTGGGTTCTAAATCCGTTCAATATGATTGTCCTTTTAAACTTTTCACCTTCTGTTGTTGCAATATATTTGAATTAAAAACAGCAAAACCTATTCCTAAGATGAGGGTATTTTGGACCGCTTAAAACATCCGAAGTATTCATTTAGAAAGTTGTGGCCTTAGTTTACCAGTTAGATGATGATATGTAGATACACGTTTGCAGGTTATACATTCAGCTCGTGCCAATGCAACTCACAATCACGGACTCGATCCAGAACGTCTTCTTGTTGGTAAATATATCTTTTCTTTCACGTTCGTTTCAATCATGCTCTTTTGCATTTTCTCTCTCAATTCCTTTTTTCTTTGCTGGTGTAGCTGAAGCATTTGTTGGAAAGGGGCTGTTCAAGAAAAGAATATCGTACCATGCTAAAGGTAAATGCGGGATAAAAGTGAGACCAGAGTGTAGACTGACAGTGGTAATAAGAGAGATAACAGCAGAGGAAGAGGCAGAGATAGCTAGGTTGAAGGTGCACAATTTCAAGAAGAAGACCAAAAGAGAAATACGACTTGTCCCACATAAACTCATCGAGACCACTCCGATTTGGGACCGCAAAAGCAAACGTAGAAATCAAGACTCAAATGCCGTTGCTGCATGAGCACTTCCTTTCCAAGATAAACGGACACATCTTTTATCTTCTTCTATCATCGTTTTCTGCTGCTTCCCTTTTTTCTGTTTATGCAACTGGCCTTTTGCTTTCTCCAGGATTTTGTTCTTTTACTTATTCATGCAGGTTTTTAAATTGATGAATAATTTGTTGCAAGACTTGAATTTAACAGTTCACTTTTAATTTGTTATTCAGTTAACTTTTTTTTAAATCGTTAATGTTATCGTTTAATGTGCTAATCAACGTCTTTGCAAAATTTTTAGTGGTATATGCAAAAATAGCGAATAACAAGACTCGCAAATCCAACTGATTTCTGAAAATGCTATTCTCGATAAGGAAATGTTTACCAGATACGAAATAAAAAAACTTGCAAAATGAAAAAATAACAAGCATTTCTCAACTTCAACGAGTCGAAATCGAAGCCCCGAAAGCTCACAACTTAGTACAAACATCAACTACGATACCTAGTAATCTCAACACCCAAGTAATCGACAGGTCCAACGACTGCAACATGCGGCTTTCCGACCTGTATTCGAACTGCAGAAACCTGAGGGAACTTGCTGAGCACCGTAGAGGCAATCACTTGAGCTACAGATTCCAGAAGTTTATGCGGAACTCCTTCCAACACTTGTTTAACTATACTGCAATTCCACACCAAAATAAACCCATCAAGAACAAAACATCACCGTGAAAACATAAGATAACTCTGTTAAGGTAGTAATACCTATATATAGCAGTGTAGCTAACGGTGTCTGATAAATCGTCAGAATTACCAGCAGCTTGTAGATCCATCCAAGCATCAACATCAATCAAGAATTTCTGCCCTAATTTATTTTCTTCTGGCTTTACGCCGTGGTACCCATGAAACATAAGACCCCTTAGTACAAGCTTGTCTCCCTTAATCATTTCTCCGTGATCTGTCATTACACCTAATTGAATTGCAAATCAACATATTTTTTTGGTAAGAAGGAAAAAAAAATTCCCAAATTTCCCAATGAATTCCTAAATATTGATATAATGAATTCTTTTAGACAAACATAACGCAGAGACATAAATGGAAGACAATACAAGTACATACTCGCCGCCGCCGCCGCCGCTAAAATGAATGCTGTAATCGCCGCCGCCGAGCTTACAAACCAGAGTAGACTGAAACCTTTTCCGAGAAAGTGTGGCTAGGTTTTCTTAGTATTTGTTGCTGACGTCATGTCACTGTTGTGCATAATTTATTCATGGATGGATCAGATTTGGAATTTTGAGGCAATTGGATGGTTTTCATTTTTCAAAACAATATTTTATTTCATTCTCAATTATTATTATTATTATTATTATTATTATTATTATTATTATTATTATTGTTGTTGTTGTTAGGAAATTTGATAAATTTTAGGGGCCTTAAGATATAGGTCCCTAGTGACAAAATTTATTAGAACTAAATGACAAGTCCAACAAAACTTTTGCTTCACATCCTTTATAAAATTCATTCCAAAAATGCCCTTCCACTCAAAAATTCAAAATCTGCATTTAATAAATTTGAACTGCATTTATTATTTTATTCTGCATTTAATAGTTTCATTTATTATTTTATTTTGTTTAGTAAAATCTAACGTTTTTTTAATTCTTTTTACTTTTTTTCATTTTAGTATGTATACAAAATTATAAAAATAAAATAATTTTTTTCCTTTTTTTTGTACATAATATTATAACAAAAACTAAAGCATGCTATTTTTTTTTTTCATTTTTTAATCTAGTATACATATTTTTCTGTAGTAGACTATAGTATACTACGATATACTATAGTATAGTACAATTGTATACTACGGTATACTATGTTTTACTATGATGTACTATCAAACCCTAGCCGCCAACAACTCTCAGTTGTCGCCAACCCTAGCAGCCAAACGTAGCTGCCGCCAAACTCTAGCGATCATACCAAGCAAAATATCTTAAAAGATAATCAGATTCATATGCAATTAGTCAAAAAAATGTTTTCAATAATAGTTGATTCTTCAATTCACAACGTTGTTAGACACTCGTAGACTCGTAGACAACTAGGGTCATTTTCAAAACCCTACTTTTGCCATTTGGAACCCTAGCACCGCTAGCAAACGTAGACCAGCCACCATCCCGTTGTATATGCAATTCAACGCACACATACCATGAATTCATCATAACCAGCCCTAGCCACTGCTAAAAAAACAACGAAAATATCTACGCACATACTCGCCAACCCTTCCGTGATGCAATCGCCACTCCCCCAACCAAGACGAGTCAGGGACATCGCCGCCGCCGCACAAGCGCGTCTGAAATGGCCACCATCGTTGCAGATCTATTATTCCTCTGTATATTTTTAAAAATTCAGATCTAATAATTAAAAAGAAAGAAAAAGAAATTAAAAGAAAGAAAAACAGTGAATTCACATTTTTAAAAATTCAGATCTAATAATTAAAGAAAAAGAAAAAGAAATCAAAAGAAAGAAAAATAGTGAATTACATAGATTGGGGCAGGGAAGTAGAGAAAGAGAGAAAAAGAGAGAGAAGAGGTGTTGGGCGGCGCAAGAGGAGGAGTTGTGCGGCCGAATAATAGGGAGAAGTGGAGAAAGAGATAAGTAATATAATAATATTATAATGTATTTTTTTATTAATTACAACAAGGGTAGTTTTGGGTTTAAAAAAATTAAAAGGATGTGTATCAATTTTTGTTCACAATTAAGGATTTAATAAAAAAAATTTAATTGGGCTTGTTCCCTACATCTAATTAGGTTTGGTTTGAAGGGTGTCATGCATATTATCCCTAAATTTTAACTATATAACAAATGACAATCGTAAAATTATAATTCAGTTAATCTACAAAAATTAATACAATTTTCTCAACAAATAAAAGTTAATAATAATTATTACAGTGATAAATATTAATTTTTATAACATTTTTTAAAAATGATTTTCAATACAGTTCAGTGATAACCTTTAGGTATTATAAAAAATAACAAATATAATATTTGTGAATAATAATAGGGGATTGTGTTGTAATTTAAACATACTTCACGGAGTGATATGTAATTTATATTTTCTTTTCTTTTCATTGAGGGACAAATAAGGAACTTTAACTTTATAGCCTAGGAACCTACTGGGGCCCACCGAAACAAAGAAATAGTTGTTTCATGCGACATATATATCCAAAAAAGTATTGTCAGCATTTCCGACATAATATAATTTAATGAGGTTTGAGTGACGTCATCGATGATGTAATTAATGGAAGAAAACCAGAAAAGTTTAGCTAACTTTTGAGCCAATTCGTTCAATTCAATTCCTACAACCGATGAATCTAACATCAACATCAACTCATCAACATCGATCGGGGTTAATATATATATATATATATATATATATATATATATATATATATATATATATATACACACACAATTGCCAGCCGAGTAGACTAGACTAGCTAGCCGACCAATATACACAGTCGTTTGCAATTGCCTTTTGACACAGAAATTTCCAAGAAAGAAATTAAATAATAATCTTCACTTTAGAGGAATCAGTCTTTTAATAATATATTATAAGGGGAAATCGATCTCCATTATGATGATATGTACTCTTATATATACTATATATATATATATGTACATTCCTCTTCTCATTGACTGTGTAAAACTAAATACATTTATAAAACCAGCCCCCTCTCTCTCTCTCTCTCTCTCTCTCTCTCTCTCTCTCTCTCACTAGCTCAATGGCTAAAACAAGCAAAGTGTTGAGTTCTTGCTCGGCCGAGTTGAGTGCATTTCAAGAGAAAACTATGAAATCATCATCAATGATGATATTCGTCACTCCGGTACGGGGAGGAATCAAGCGCAGAATTTACCGATCTCTCCTTCGCGTACTAAAGAATGCTTTCCTCTCTACTGGGAATTAATTAATTGAAACCGTGCGTGTGTTTTCTCATGTATTTTTCTCTTTGTGTTTTTCTACGTACGTCTTCTTATTATTTTTTTTTCCTTTTCTGGGTTGGGATCGATCGACTTATGTATGTGGGAGCTCGTCTCATCTGCAATAATGTATGTTTGTTTGTTATAACTTCGTTGATACAGTTATATATAGTTCTTCATCAGCCAATTAATGTTATTTTAACCTATTGCCTATATTATGTGTATATGAATTATATATATATATATATGGGTATTATGCAGTATGTAATATGCTGGTCGTGAAATGACATAAAATTCTGATCGTTGCACCATATTTGAAGATGAGGGCAAGAATGTAATTTGTATCCGGACCATTGGGCGACAGATTTTAGTTGCTCTTCCGTCCGATGGCAGTGATGTAATAACTAATAGTAATCGGATTTTTAATTAGGTCGGGGCCGGGGTGCACCTTTTTTTCTCCCTTTGCGGCGGCTTGTTAATTTATTAAATTATAATTTATAAATTAAGTCCCA